GGGGGGTTTTCTACGTACCCCTATATATTAACTAGGGTCATGCTATTATCTTTATAAAAGTTACCACAATACTATGCCCCTGCCACGTGCATGGATACCATATCACAATAAGCCTTATGCATATGAATTACAATGCCACAGCCTACACCACATAGATTACAAAAAGCAATTACCATCCTACTCTCTAACTAAGGTACACCTATAATACTATAGGTTTTATTTTAGTTCTATGAAAGATGCTCTGTTTAATATATTGAAGTGGTTAAACAAATGGGTGACAACGAGAAATAGGCTAAGTAGGTATGTTGCGAGATTCAAGTTTCTTATTCTAACTCACAGACATTTTCTGCCACCATCAAATGTTGAAAGTAGGGTACTATCGTCCTGTCACCTCGTACACAGATTAGTCCAATTAAATAGAATAACATTGATGTAAAACGGCACACATACTTTCTATATAAGAAGAGCGGGTTAACTTTCCTTCAGACATCATTCGGATTTCAGGGGAACATCATACCCACAGCCTCCTCAACTAAGAGGCTAGGGCGAGGACATCATCTCGTATTCTCCGAAAGACGTTCCCACAGCCTCCTCGGCTGAGAGGCTGGGAAACACCGGCGCAAAACACAAGCTAGAGGATAGAGAAGTTATATTTAGCTTATATCTAATGTCATAGCTGTGTATGTGGTTTCCTGTATATAACCTTTGTATTATGGATGTTGTATTCGATATATAAACTTCGTCACAACGTAAAAAGTGTTCTAGAGTTAATTGATCATATGCACAACGTGAAGTCAAAGTTAGTTCCGAATCGATCATAGTGTGACGGGTCGTTTTCTGGAAGGTCCCGAATAAAGTCACATCTGTCCCCGTAGTGTCATACACTTACTCTTTCTAAAATACCTCAAACCACTTCGAATATATTACCAGTTTCAGTGGATCTTTTTTTTATATAGATACCACATTCGATTGTCTGGTTTGTAGTAATCGAACACATGCGAAATTCTGCTTTGTAATTTGTATAGTTTGTGCAAATCCGGCAAGAGGTAAACTACATAAAAATACAATAAGATCATTATAAAAGTAAATGATTTCATAGTTTGTGTCACTTCCGAAATCTCCCAAATCTGGTTGCGGATCAACCGTAAGAAAGATGATTTCCATGTTAAAATCCTATTTATAATAGCTCAACCAATTATATCACATAACGTAAAATCTGTGGACTCTGGTAATTGTCCTTTAATAGCGTGACGGCTGTAAACAAATATTTTCATTATAGCTGTCAAGGGCGTGTTTATTCGTTCAAATTTGAGTTGTTGCAGGTTAAACTGGTCGATATCTATTGACAATTTGTTATCAGCACTTTCACCAAAGTTCCAGAAAGTTTCAATTATTTGAAGTTACAGACTTCGTTGATAGTTCTCCTTCAGGTGTCGGGTCTTGATTTAATGTTATAGCAAACTCCGATTCATGACCTAAGGTACCTGTTTATTGAAATATTAAGTTCACGGGAGCCGCACCATACAACGTAACAACTAACCAGAAATCCACAAAACAAACACACCGAGAGAAATAGTTTCTAATATATCAGTATTGTAAAATCAGCCGTGTCTGCTAGTTCAGTACAAAATTCTACCTCACCCCACCCACGCGCTTTCTAAAGTAATATCGTCAGATGTCGTTGGATGCGTTGTTTAAGATGATATAGAAATTTTTGACTGAGTGTCAAATTTGGTAATTGGAAATTTGAATCATACTAAGTCAGACAACAGACCTCACTTCATATATCAAAGAATTGTATTTTTGGGATTCTGGGGAATATTTTTTTAAAATACTTAACTGTTAGCCAGGCGTACAAATCATTTTCAATGTCTCGCACACCGTTGCTCTATCACGAAGCAAAATATTGAGTAAAAATACACCAAGTATTTAGTCGACGGGAAATTACTTAATATTGTTTGCGGGAAGAAAAAGTAATATTCAGTGTGAAAATAACTAATTTTATGGCCCCAGACCAGACACTGGAGACATGTCTGTTTTGATAGTTTTCAGGGTAATTTTATTTGATTTAATAACGCTCGATCATAGACGGTTTTATATATAACCCAGACCTGGCGTCAATTCATTAGACAAACAAACCCTAGTGTCAAAATGAAACCTTACAATCTGAGCTGGACATCTTGAACAATATCGACATGGCAGCAAAAAAGTCTTAAATTACCGAGAAATTTTCAGATATTATTATTTTGAAGCGAAAAATCAAACAGTCTAAATGAAAAATGTATTGCCTGTTTTACAGTTAGTTCATAGAATTTACTTGAAATGTCGGTATTTGTGTCGCGGTTTGACTAGGTACTTGGTTCTGCTGGGTCCTTTGTGCATATTCATTAAAATACAACAAAGGATAGAGTGAGATTAGATACACTCAATGTGATTAGATATACACAATGTGATTAGATACATTCAGTGTGATTTAATACACTCCTGGTGCAAACGGTGTGCACATGGCTCTGGAAAAGGTCACTCAATGTGATTATATATACACAACGTGATTAGATGCATTCAGTGTGATTTAACACACTCCTGGTGCAAACGGGGTGCACATGACTCTGGAAAAGGTTAAACATTGTGCCTTTTGTTACGACAGCACACATAGCTTGTATTATTTCAATCAACTTTGACCCGCAGTTTAACCTCTAGTGGCTATAATTCTTTGCATTAAATATAGTGCTGGATTTAAAAGTGCGTACGACATATGTTAAATGTGAGAAGGTGTCTCAAGATGTCATTGAACGAATCGCCAAAGACTGGGTAAACTTACTTCTATTAACAGCATTTTACTTGATGTTGCATCAATTTCTCCTATTATCTCGTGATATTTAAAGAAGGCTTAAAATCCCGAACAAAATATCTCTAAATCTTTTCAAACTATAGATTCATGGTGTCGCACGTTTATCGTGTGCAAATGTTATCTAGTTTTAAAACACAAAAATATCTACACCTTCCTTAATTGAAATGATAGTATGGTCATACCTTTGGAGAAAATTGCGAATGACAAGCTTCGAAAATTACAATAAAAATCACCACCCTATTTCATCCATGCTTATAGGGTGAATTATATTCTTTGAAAAAAAATAAAGACATGTCCCACGGAAAGCTTTCAAATGGCATGTTATACGACCAGTGAGTTTGTGTGACTTTACGCTTGAAAACCCCAATACAATTTTCCTTAATCAAGATTCTGATTCTACTATTTCCCTAGTGAAATGACATGGCCTTATGATGTCTTATCCTGTTTTCTTAGTTATACCTTATCGGTCCAACAAATAATACAAGATATTAACTGAGTTACACTGACTTCAAAAGTACCGGAACATCTTAAAGATTTTCTTAATCATGGCGGTAGCCGTTGGTATAGAGAGAGGCGAGTCTTAACTGTGAATAGGCGGATTATCTTTATTTCTGTATATGGTCTGAAGTAGTTGTTTGCCTTTTGTATATGGGAATAAATGGTAGACAGACTTAGTGTTCGAGCAACAAAAGATCCGGTAGACATTGCAAATAATTCACTTCCAGGAATAAAAACGGCGGTGACATTATTGAAGATTTAATTGATAAAATTGATCGCCACTTGGGGATATCTTGCCCGCTAAAACTCTAAAGATTCTGTTAGTTTGCTTGAACAAGAGTGCACGCACTTATGATATTGGGCCGATATTACAGAGCAATATATTCCACTGTAATCCCATCAATTATCGGGGTTCGTATGGAATCGGAGTAAAGGGTGCCATGGGGATAACTGCCCAGCAACTCATTGGATTGAAACCAATATGGTTGCTCACATCGTAGTATTAACTAAGTAGGCCATCGTGAATTGATTATTTTATATCATCTTGTCGCTTGCCTTGATTGTAGCAATCATCATTAGTAGCAGTTTGTAACTCTACTTTCTTTTAACCATTCTGATTTCCTTTAATAATGACACATTGTTTCATGCAACTTTTCTAGATATTATGTTACAATATTATTTATGAATGGCGTTTAATATAAGACAGACTTCTTTCTCAAAACAACGACCACACACAGTTTCTTTGATAGAATCTATTGAAAGTAACATTAAAAAAAACAAGGGATAAGGTCATTTATGAATCTAATTTAAACAATATGATAAAATTGAAAGCTATAATACTACCACATGATTGAAGTACTGTGGCATTTTAACAAAGGATAAAATGGTTCGCTGTTTAACGACAAGTCCATTTCTCTTTTCTTAACAATTTCTCCCTTTTAAGATATGTACAAATGTATACTCATTTAAGCTAGTTCACATTCTGGCAATACAAACACAACAAATCTCTCTTTTCATAAAAGCATTCTCGTTGAAGAGGTGGCAAACATAGGCTCTAGAATCTAATGAGTCCTCTAAGGACCACAATAATGGACTGATTGTCAGGTTAATATACATGCAGCAGCCGATAATGACTAAAGGGTAGATGTTTTCACTAAACTACTATTTCAAAGAGATGGACTGGATATTTGGCATTTCACTATCGGTGGTGAAAATATGCGAACCTTTCGACAGCAAGAAACTAAACGTGTCAAGTACCATTTCCCCCATACATGTACAATTAAAAGAAAATCGTGTTGCCACTAGGAAAAGTTTTGTTTAGTTGTGTTAACAAACTGTGCAAGGTGTTACGAAACAAAGATTAACAATCTGTCGTCACATACTGGAGTATTCTACTCAACATTCGTGTTTTACATTATTTTGCAAGTCTGTGAAGACCGTATTGCATCCTATGCTCCAGGACATACCATTCTTTGGTCCAGTAGTTCGTTCGGTGAGAATATCCCAGCTTCTAGTTCTTTGTTAAGCACGCCTTAAGAACATTTTTAATCTTAAACCGTTTATAAAATATAAAAAATCGATTTAGAGCTATTTGGCTTCTTATGTTCTTTCATCTCATCAGTGAATTGATCAATTTATTTTTTTATTACAGGCACCAAGACGATTGAGCTCAGGAAGTTTAACCAGCGGTTCAGAAGAAAATGAAAACGAACCAGATCCTCCAGTGGTCAGGCGTGGCAGGAGAGCGGCCATATTTGAAACGAAGGTAAGTGGAAATTATGACATCCCGTTATCTTGTATAATGTGTCCATATTGCTCAACTTGGAATTTAAAGTCTGTGAATCGGCTGCTTCCCATCTGGAAGTCAATGTTAAGTATGACATAAATTCACCAAACAATGCTGTCATACTTGTATCTTTGCTTCGGATATAACAAAATTGTTAGATCTGGATTAGATTTAAACTGTAGCCAAATTGTCGTTGATGTGATTGAGTCTTTTCAATTCAGGCGTCTATTATATAAGAAGTAAGAAATCATTATTGGCGGAGGCGGAAGTTGCATAATTTCAGACAACAAATAAAAGGCCATTATGTTTTACGTCCACACTTAATTAATATGGGCGTATATTAATGTCACCTGTGTCGGTCTGTCTGTTTAACAGATCAGGTTGTTATGATTTATTTTCAAACTGACTGAGATTGTTCCCCTGGTCATAAGCAGAAACTTTATCGATATTCCAAGTAGGATCCCCTGTTTAACACCGTGGGTTTTTCAGGGTCTCTCGGTCGTTTCCTACTGCTACCAACATTCAGATTTAAAAGAACAATGACATAGGAATAATTATGTAAACTACCTCTCATATTCGAAGAGAAACTCCATAACAATATACATCACAGCATGTGGTTGTCAACGGTCTTGTTATGCTTGGAACAAATTGATTGTATCTATAACGAATTAAATGAGTATGGTTTTCATCAAAGTGTATATATAATGGAACAACGAACATTTGGATAAACTCAAGTTGACACTATCCACGCCAGAAATATGTTCAAGTAAAATTGTTAACCTAGACGAAACACTCGTTCATCTATTTATGAATTGAGATGAATCCAAAACCTGTACAAAACCAACAAATGCATCTCTCTTATAAATATTTTGTTTAACAAGTGCCGCTACCTTTAGCCTCTGTAAATCATAAATTATATGCCTTTAGCAAATAGGTTTGACAAGGATCGCTCACTTTCCCCTGATTATTTACATAATCTGATAATATAATAGCTACATCCTCCTAAATAGGTGTGTGGTTATCTTCATCATCTGTTTATTACACATTTATCGTTTCTAGGGTATTTCTTACCTCCCGTATCTTGCAGTTTAAAATGACTAACCTGCACTTAAAGAACTCAGATTCAGATTATTTCTCAGATAGTGAGATTATATTTGGGTAGAAAGTTTTGATTCTTTTAGATATGTCACTCCAAATGGTTCATTTACTCAAATATTTATGTCTATATAAATGTCATGTTAGAACTATTGGCACATTAATCTATATAAATAGTGGCGTGTATCGTGCACGTACTCTTTTCAGAAAACATGGTACTACTTTGCCTTGGACACGCCATGTTCCACTAATTTAGCCTATAATTTGCCTGTCTTTTTGGACTTTTAATGTTGGTGCCCTTGCTAAATATTTACTCAAAACATAGGAACCTAGTGTGTAACTGGATAGAATGTGTATTTTATCATCGCTGATCCATTCCACTAACACTGGTAGGAACATACGTTAAAACTTCTCATTCGAAGCCCGTGTAGTACTACACACATTGTATCTATGGATTGCCGTTTGGGGTTGATGGCACTTTATTTCATTCTGCATAACGCTTTATTTCTAGGTGTGAATTTCTTTACTGTTCATGTGTAGTTTACTCTACATTTTTTTACACAATCATTTAATCTGCTATGCCTATGTATTTAGATATATACATATCGTTTGTTACTGAAGGTAGTGCGTATTACAAAATGAACGTTTATTGGAAGTATTTGTTTCTACCGTACCATGCTGTATTGTAATAAAGTTATTACAAAATTGAAGGAGGTTGATTACACTACCGGTTAATAAAGTGTTATTAGCAATTAGAATAACGCAAAACGTTTGTTGCCTTGATTAAAATAGACATTATTTGTTTAAGTAAAAAATATTTTAAAACACTTTCAAATATATAAGAATTAAGTCAATATAAATAAAGAAGAAGCTTTAGTCGATGCGTTTAGTTGACAAGATTCGTAGTTTCGCAACGAATTTATTTTTTAGTGGTGTGACTGGAAGTCTTAAATTTGAATTCAAATAACAAATTGACAGGAATGAATTTTCATGGGAGAAGCAGATGTCGTTAGTGTATTATGAAAAATGTATACTTACATGATTTATAATGATGAATATGGTTAAAAGGTTTACTGAATTAATTATTTATAACATATTAATTTGATGTTGAACAAATAGAATGATGATTTACAATATAATGAGAGTCTATGAGTTTTCACAACAGAGTTCTATAATGTTCTGTCTATACGTTTTACTGAATGGTTTCATAAGAAAGGGGGAATTGAGGCTTTGCTTTTCGTAACTAATGAGCTTTACTGGGCATATAATATAATAGGTATTATAATAATAACAGTAAAACAAACATGTTAGATGTGTGATTTATGTTTTCCATATACAGTACAGTAAGGTTGTAATGGTCACTGTACCCACTGACGTGCACGTAAAAGAACCCGTGACAGTTGGAATTCGAACTAAGAGTAGGCCGGAACTCTGGTGCCCGGGCAAAAGCCCCCTTATAGCACACTACATGACGTATACTCATCTTTATAAGCCCAGTCGGTGCCGAAAAGTTGAACGTTAAACACCATTTCATGTCTGTAATGGTCACCCGAGCTGCTGTCATGTCGTTTGTGTATTGTTGTTTGCATGAAAATAAATCAGAAGCTCATGTGTATTGAGATACATATAGCTGGATATCAGCCTTTATATAACCAGATTTCTTACCCAAAATTTGATTTAACACTCGTATCACTTGCATCTTAGTATAAAAAAAACAACCGAGTTGTAGACGCACTGGAGCTAAACCAGCATTTTTACTGAATAGACAATCTTGGGATTTTTTTTTAATTTTAACGTCAATATGACAACCGAGTTTTATGGACCACTTCATCTGAAGCTAAGCATGTGATAAGTTAAGTAAACAGTGGTAGCTTAGACACTTGATATTAGTTCCGTTCTCGTCAATTCTCAGTAGGCCTGTCTGGAACTTTTTAAATGCCATATCAATTTGACGAAATAATCTAATCTTGCTAATCTTCGATAGCTCCTGCGCACACCTGTGTAGATTTAAACGCATGGAAATGAAATCGTGAGTGGAGGTGGAAGGTCTGTGGTATAAGTTCAAACTTAAACTTCTACTACGGATATTTGACGTATGTTTCCTAACGTAAATTCTTCCTAAAATTCTGGACGTATAACTCGTTCCTTGAGATACTGGTCCGCTTGTTAGTGGCGTTATGTGTTTAGTTAACGGTCGACGACGAAAGGCTAACTTTCTTGAGTTCTTCAAGTATTTGTTTTAGGCTAAAATCCCAAAACGATAATTGATTTTTTTGTAGAAATATTATTAATATTCCTTCATTATATTATTTTATTGGATTATTGCCTGCGACCTTTGGTGTGTTTGAATCAATTTTTAGTCCAGCTGTCCGCATATCAACACGGAAAATAATGCGGGAGCCACAGACTTCAATATGTTTGTTGATGATCCAAACTCGAGTACATATAGTTGGCACATAGAGGAATAGCGTAGAAAATATATCACATATTTCTGAAAAGCGTTAATGTCTTTTGGACATGTCCATTTAAACCTCAAATCAGATATTTAGATCAGCCTTTCAGTACAGCAGTATATCATGCTGGGTTTAATATGAAATGCCAGACACGATATCATTTTAAGCTCTGAAATATTTATATCTAATTCAGTAAAATACTTGTACAATAATGGAATTTGACCCTGGTGTTCAAACAATACATCAGGTAAGTGCCGTAAAGCCATTAAACATGCGATCAATGATTCTATTGCGTGGTTAACTATGTAGCTTAGTTTTAATTGTTTTATCACTGGTTGTATAATACGTATAACACTTCTGTAAACAGGCTATAATCATGGTTATTTTTTTTTAACTCTTTGTATCCCATCCTAGATATTGTTCTTTTTGATGAAGTACTGTTCTGTCATTGGGGGGATCCTGGTGAGGGTCTTAGTGGCTCGGGATCCCCTAAATACATTTCTTATTCTATTTCTATGAAACGTGTAAATGTAATCTTTTTATATGTTGCAGCACAGTGAGGTTGTACCTGATGAAACTAAATGTCGTAATGAGGTCCAGAAATGCGCCACAATTCGCTATTGACACCTTGATTTTTTCAAACTTTCTCGAATTTTAACCGAATAATCTGCATCAGCCACTGTGTTCCGTATATTTTATTTATATTTAATAAAAAAAGATACAAACTACAATACACAGTACAATCGTTTTATATTAACCCAAGTGCAAATCATCACCGGTTTAGCTTATTATATTGACGGACATCATGTACGACGCGGCATATGCCTGCATTGTTTCAAGGACACCATGCAGATATCGCTTAATTTTTTGTTTGTGGTGTTCACATAGCTAACGAATTTTTGTTGTATCTTTTGTCTCAAATCAATATTATAAACCAAACCTTACAGCCATTAGAAATTACACGTTTAATTTGATTAGCTACTAACGTAGTCGTGATATATTACTCATGCCAGTCAAAAGATTAACAAAGGCATCACTTTGGACCAAATGAATGTTTAAATTTATATTCTGGCAGTGAGGTTTAATAAAATTAATGTCTAATCCATATATACAGGTCTTTGTATTCTAGCAGGAAACAGACAGAGATTTCTTTTTCTTTTGAGATTTTTAATGTGCCAATTAACTTTGTCGATTGAAGTCGGGGGTGATTCCCAACTGACCTGCTAGTCCTAGTAGTATTTCCATCTTAACGAGTTTATACGCTAATAGATCATTTATCTTCTTCTGGCACAAATGCCCAGCTAAAGATATCGATGATAACCCGAAGACCTACACAAGTCCATTTAGCTGATGATATTGTCGGACAAAATTCCGCCATTCATGAGAAATTCGTTATCAAGTACTTGCAAATAGCAATTAACGGTAAGTTGA